AAAATCTTGAAGAAACACTCAAGAATATAGAAATAAGCTTTAGACTAAGTAGTGATGTTGTTATTCTATAAAATGAGACTTAAAGGGGGGTTTATATAGGAGTTGGAAGGGTTAAAGTTAGGGCTGGGTTGGGAAAATCAAAAACCGAAAACCGAACTGAAACCGATCGAAACGAGCTAGAAAAAAAACCGAACCGAAAAAACCGAAGCCGAATGTAAAAAAACCCGAACCGAACCGTTAGTATTTGGTTCCGTTTTGGTTTTCACTTTGAAAAACCGAACCGAATAAACCGAACTTTCTTAGATAATTCGCTTTTTTTATATAAATATATGTGATATGTAGAAAAAACATAGAAATATAAATGCAAATAAATTACTAGTCGATTAAAATTATTTTCTTAACTATTAATTAAACATTTTAGCCATACTATTATAAACTTTTAAAAAATCTAAGAATATAAACACCAATAGCTAATCCAAATATAGAATTATATTAACATTAAATATTGATACGAGTAATTTACATATTTACATAAAAAATACTTTGATGTTATAATGAAAATGAAAGTATTATACCAAAAAACACAAATTCTTCATAATTAATTTTACATACGATGTCTTTGGAAGTATTTGGAATCTCCTAAATGTTTGTTGGGTACTCAACACATAATTTTTTTATGTAAAATTGAACCGAATGATACAATAACCTTCCGTTTGATTTTTGTTTTTGTGTAGAACTCAAACCAAAAAACCAAACCTAACACAACATATTGTTATTGCTCCATCGAGTTAGTGTTTTTACAATTTTTTAATGCTTATAAATTTCTACTGTTATAAACCAAAAAAACTAAAAAAAAACCGAAATAAAAACCGTATAAAACCGAACCGAATAACCAACGGTTTACATATTTTTTATGCAAAACCGAACCGAACCGCCAATTTACCTTCCGTTTTGTCTTTGGTTGTGGGTGAAAACCGAACCCACCCCTAGTTAAAATTGAGTTTTTTATGTTTAGGACCGTTGGGGAGTGATTGGGGGTAATTTAAATTTGAATTAAAAACCAGCTACAGGAACCACCAACGGTCATGGTACCCTTCACGGTAGGGGGATAACGTCCGGTACCTAGGTACCTTGACCACTGTATAGCCTACCGCCTATAGGTACGGTGTAGTACAAAAAATTTCAGCGACTCTGGCGGAACCTAGGGTCAAATAGTCGCATCCTTCATTTCGTAGCCTACCGGCGGTACCTGGGTACCGTTAGCATGGTAGGGGGGTACCGTGTCACTCCAAGTGAAACGTACCACGATACGGTCACTTGGCTGCCGCCGGTACCTAGGTACCGTTGACACGGTAGTCACGTACCGTCTGACCTGAGACATTTTCCAAAACTGGATTTTTGTGTTCCTTTTTCAAAATAACCCCAACTAAGAATATGTTTGACATTTTAGAAATAACACTTTGAGTGAAAGTGCATAAGTATAACATTAAATATATATCACTACCTTTATACAAATGTTTTTAAACCCGTAGGAGTACATCTCGGTGATGCTAATCAAGTTAGAGAGGTTTGACGTTTGGTTTCTTCCTGCAAATCACGTTAGTAACATTTGAAGACTTATTTGACACATCAAAACGGTTATAAGGTACGACATTAAAGGCCAACACCTAGTAAGGGAGCTATCGCCCCAGAATTCTACTATTTAATTTGAAATATCGTTGAATGAGCATATATGCATTTCGTACATTCGAACTTGTTCACAATGTACGTCAATCAAAATTCACACTCGATTTGAGAAAATATAATGACATTGGATAGTCGATAATGCTAAAATTAACAAGATAAACAACAATCTCTAATCAAAATTTTGTTACAAAGAGGCATTACATTTCTCTGAAATGAAAATATACAACGGAATCATAGTAGAAATTTGTTGTGAAGGCTAGGAATTAGTGTGCTATAAACCGATGCAATTACGAACAGTTTTCTTTTTCTAGTGCCAATTGATCGCCGTCGTGGACCCACACATAAGCCATAAGATGGTAAACAAATAGGGAGTACTTTATTACTCGTACAATTATCCTTTTAACAAGCATTTTTATTTCTATTTGGAAAAATGAAAAAATAAATTTTGTAGGAGAAAAGCTATAAAACTAGAAGTACTTATTTGAAGAATGAGGTACGACCTGTTTGTTGAGAATAGCATTAGAGATTAGTGTTAGCGTTTTGGATAAAAATTTAACGGTGCAGATTACTTTGAAAATGCTAAAGCTAAATGTTGTCCATAGATAGTCTTTTCAAAACGCTAACGCTATTCCCAAACAAGCTCGTAGTCTTTAATTAATTGCCACTACGGCAACGATCAGCGCGATCACACTTGCGCCCGATAGATGGTTGGACTGGCTGGCTTCCATCAAAAGGCTCTAACGCCACCTTTTCTGTGTTGCTTAAACCCGATTCCGATGAGAGTAAGTTCCTTTCTCCAAAACTCATTTCCTTGGCCGCAACCCTAACCGGATGTGTGCATTCTATGAATGCAATGATGAGGATGAAGATAGCCATAACAATCCCTCTTAATTTACCCATTTATATTTATTTATTTACTTATTTTTTAGTTATATAATTATATGGATTGGATTAGAAAGAATGAGTAATATGGGGTATATATAATGATCTTTTCGCTTTCATGATTATCAATTTGGTTGAGATTGTGGTTGTAAATGAGTTGGTACAAAACTAAAGGATAATAATATATTACGGTGTAAATTAAATGTGGGTGTGTCTCCATAGAGACCCTTTAAACATGTGTTCTCCGCCAACCTCCTCTAATTGCGCTATGTCCTTCCAATTCCAAAGATTCAACACCTCAAATAATTTAATTTACTCCGTATTTGTTATGTACAAATTAAATTATTAATATATTTAATTATGTTCATATAAAAAGTTGTTATTTGTGGAAGTTTATTATATCAATGTCAATCTTATGTTGTTCGTAGAGAAATATTAGAGTCCTAAATTAATTCTCACAAAATTCACAAACATTCACATCATCAACTCAATATAGGAACTAAATGCTCTCAAATAATTTAAAATTTGAAAATTAAAATTTACAAAAGATAAGTTTTTGAATTTTGTAAGACTTTGTTTGTGACTCTAACATATATTCCTCTTGTTTGTATGGTTACTAATGTTAGAAACTTCTCTTTGTAAAAGTTTATAAAAAAGATTGTAAAATTTTATTTAAAAAATGGTAGTGCATTTTTTCCATTTGAATTGATACATATGAATAACAAAATAATGAACACATAAGAATGAATGAATAGTGTAAAGATCTACACTGATTTGTTGGGTAAATAAACCCATCCCACATCCGTGGATAGAAGAGGAGCTAATATTTAAGAATTCAAATCCAACCCACTAGTATAGAAGATTTTGAGGTATATCCAAAAACAAATTTGTTAAGCCTTTGCTCAAAGGGGCAATATCCGCTGGATGACAACATGAGTTCACAACATAAGCTCTAAGACAAGCATGTGAGATAATACATAGAAATGATAGAACTAACACCCTCTACCAATTCCAAATTAGTAAGATTTTGTCATATATTTGATTTTGAACACCTTACAAAAGGTCTCATAAATGGATTGGGTTGAATCATTACACTTTGTATTCTGATTCCTTTTTTTATTCCTCTAGCAATTATCCATTTGATTGTAGCCCTCTTGCACCACCACAACAATCTCACAGGACACGCTATTTGTCCGCCTATTCTTGTCGGAGGAAAATTTCCAACACAAAGCATCAAACGCAAATCTCCACTACGTTAGGCCAAACCACTTGATCTTGCACCACCAGCACCACCATCTAACAAGACTCGTCGCCTGAACACTTATATATTTCTGTCAGAAAGCTAGGAGGATAAAGACATAAATCACAGATCTCCACTCTGATAGGCCACTCCTTTGGTCTTGTTTGTATTGGCACACCGAGGAACTCCACACAACATTAGGCACTATCAACAAATCTCCTTCACTTTTGTCATGTTGGCCCACTATTACACTATGAACTCCACACAACACAAAGAATTCCACACAACGCAGTCTACCACTTTTGTTCGCTTGAACTTGAGTTTCGATGCCACATGTAGGCACTATTGGAATAATAGAAGAATAGGTTTATTTAAAAATAATGGAGAATACAAGAGAGTATACATTGAAGCAATTCTTACACAAGCAAAAATCAAATTAATAATAAAATCTGACAGATAAGCAAACACTACTATAATTAATGCTATTATGATTATCTAATATCCCCTCTCAAGCGGAGTCTGACAGAAGTAAGAGGATTTTTGGACTTTAGTTAGGAACTAGAAATCCTAAAAAGAAAGAAGAAGTCTAACATGCGTTGTTAGCTACTAACGTCGGAGAAGAAGAGAGAAGTCTGACGTGCACCTGTAGCTGTTATCGTCAAAGAAGAAGAGCGAAGGCTGTCGCAAGGAGGTAGCTGTTGACGTAAAAAAAAGGGCTATCAGAAGTGCCTGCTTGGCAAAAGATCTCTGACATTCTATCTTTTTCTTGGATCTCTCGGGCAATGCCCTGTTTCTTACCTTAAATCTTTTAAAAGTGAAGATCAGAAAGGATTTGTGGAACAGAGAGTATTATTACGATTAGGGGTGTTCATGTTTCGGTCTGAATCGTAAAATCGAACGAACCATACTGTTAGGTCCAGACCGAACCCGGACTAATATCATATCGGGTCGGTCTTCAGTCTGGATAATTTCAAATTTCGGGTATCGGTCTGGTCCGGTCTATACCCGAATGAATTTCGGTCTGGACCGACAGACGGGTTATTTAAGCTTATCCAATTCTTAGCCTCACAAATCCATACATCCAGTAAATTAGTAATCCACTCTACATCATCTTCTTCTCTCTCCCTCTCTCTCTCTCTCTCTATCTCGCACATCATCGTCTTCTCTACCTCTCTGCAATCGACTCTACATCTCCCTCTGAAATCAAAGTCGCCCACTCCCTCTGAAATCGACCCCATTTTCTCCGTCATCTTATCCGACCAAAGACCCCATGTTCTCCGTCATCCTCTCCCTCGATTCTCGACTAAATTGTAGAAATTGCTGAGAAATTTGGAAGTTATAAATTGCTGGAGACCTGGAGTGGAGTGCTGAGGCTTCTCAAAAGGGTAAACTTTCCGATTCCATTATCTCCTTCTTAACTATGGTATAGTATGTTCATCTCCATACTACCCCTGTTCATGGCTCAGAGTCTTAATGCTAAGTGATATTTTATTCAATTATTTATGTTAAGGTCCCGTTTGGTACATGGAATTCAAACTATGCAATTGGAATTGGAGACTTAATTCCAATTCTGGTGTTTGGTTGCACAAAAATTATGTGGATTTGGAATTGATAGTGTAAAAAATGAATTGAAATTGACAGAATTCAATTCTATGGAATTGAATCTCATGGAATTTCAATTCCAATTCCACCAATTCCTTATACCAAACGGAGCCTAAGTGATTCATAAATGTGAAGTATCAATGGAATTCAATTAGTAGCTCAGTCAACACTAGTTGGTAGTGCCGCACTGTGTACACTTCTCACAAAAGAAGCTTTTTCGCAACACTAATTGGGCAATTGTGATTTGTGAAGTATCAATGGAAATCAATTAGTAGCTTAAAATTTACTTGTAAGCGTATACGACTTCAATTTGGAGTAATCATTGATAAGAAATATTGAATTCCCAAAAATCATACATTTCTTCATACACACAATTATTTTTTATAAAAAAAATTATGGAATGATGCTTGTTTGAAATGGGATTTGGTTTGGTGGGAATGGGATGAGCTTCTGTGTTGAACAGATACTCAGTGATGTCCACTGTCTTTAGTTACAAATTGGAATATGGAGTCCTTAGTGAGGACAATTATTACCAGTGATGTTTGTTTATGTTGCTCCAATTTCTTTAGTGTCCTTAATATATTGTCTCTAGTTGCACAGCCGCACTGTGACACTATGAGTCTGTGAGTTTTTTTTGCAGGGAGGCAGTGAGTCAGTGAGGTAGTCAGACGGTGTAGAGACACATGAAGGCGATCGATATACTAATGACATTATTTTTTCAGTGTTTCAAGTATGAAGCAATCAATAAATGTGCCCAATCACAGGATGTGCCTTCAACGAATGTGTCTCATGTAGAGATAGCGAAATGCGAAGATACAAGTCTTTTGACAATGGGTGCATCAAAATCACATTTACCACACCCTAATAGAAAACCTAGGCCTGGGTGTCGGTACATTGTAAAAGGACCGAAAAGAAGAGCAGAATATTAGAATGATTTTGAGTTGTTCTTAGATGATCAAGATAATGTCTGAGTGGAATGTGTACACTATGACTCAACTTTTGCTACTGATTCTGCTCGAAATGGGACCAAAAACTTGAAACTACATCATGCTCGTTGTGAAAAAAATACACTGAATAAAGGCAAAGGTAAGCAAGCTACTATTCACTTTGAACTTATTGATGGTGAGGAAGGTGAGGTTCATGTTAGAAATCGAGTAGTCAATTCAGATGATCTTAGAGAAGCTTTAACTCATATGATTGTGTTAGATGAGTTGCCTTTTAGATTTGTAGAGAAACCTGGATTTCGACACTTTATGTTACAACAAGATGGAGCTCCACCTATACAATGTTGAACACTGCACTTAAGTACAGATTTATTTTTGGTAAGATGAAGTTTCCAAATGAAAAATGGGTCCCTTCAAATGATGAGTGGAACAAGGTTGAAAGGCTTGTTGTATTCCTTGAGAAATTTTATGAGTTAACAACTCGTGTATCAGATTCATTGTTTGTTACTAGTAATTCTTTGTTCTTCCATATTAGTCATACTTATAATTTGTTGAGCCAATGGTCGTTGAATGGAGACCAAGACTTTGAAGCTATAGCTATTAAAATGAAGGAAAAATATGACTAGTATTGGGGCGATATTGACAAGATGAACAAGTTGATATACATGGGTGTGATTTTCTTGACCCAAATTTTAAGTGTATTGGCATTCAATTGACTTTACATTTTATGTATGGTCAAGACAAAGGGGAAACAATTGCCGAAGATATAAAAAAGTTTGCAAATAAATTGTTTGAGGAATATAGAGTAATTTATACCCCCACAATTCATTTGAGTGGAGAATCTTCTATTTTGAGCACAAGTGCATCATCTTCAAAGGGAGGAAGTTTAGATATTATGTACTCTATTGGTGAACAAGTAAAAATGAAGATGAGAGGTGACACAGGAACTTCAGGAAGTAATAAGTTTTTAAGAACAGAATTTGATAGGTATTTAGACGAGATAATGGGAGATGACGAGGAAAAGGATATACTAATTTGGTGGAAACTTAATGAAGCAAGATTTCCCATTGTTGCACGAATGGCTCGTGACATCTTAGCCATACCAGTTTCACCTGTAGCATCAGAATCTGCGTTCGGTGCTGGTGGTCGCCATTTGGATCAATTCCGAAATTCTTTAACACCAAAGGTGATGTGTTATATTTTTTTTATTATATTAGATATTGTCTTTAACATAATTAATTCACTTTTATGTTTTTGTTATAAAAGATGGTTCAAGCTCTTATATGTGGGCAAGATTGGATTCGTGCACAACTTTGTAAACCAAAACTTGATATGGAAGAAAATATAGAAGAATTAGAAAAAATAGAGAAAGGTATTGTCACTAATACTTTTACTTTTTTATTTTAATTGTTTAATTATGAATGGTGGAATGAATCTAATACTACCTCCGTCCCACAAAAAAGTTCTTATTTTGACCATAAATTGGTCAAACTAGTGCACACTTTGACCATAAATTAACTATAATCTAAATAAAGAAATGCTAAAAAAATTGAGATATCAAAACTAGATTCTAAGATGAATCCAGTTATATAAAATTTATTTCATAATTCAATATACTTTTCTCACAATTTGTAGTCAAAGCGTGTAAATATTTGACTAAATACTATTCAAAATGAGAACTTTTTTGTGGGAGAGAGGAAGTATGTAACTTTTGCATTTCCAGATCTAAAGAATGCAAACATTGATGATGAAATAATCTTTGTCACGGAATAAATAACTCGATTACAAGTTTGGTTAATGAAGTCCTCATACCTTGGCTCTCTAAATTTGTATGGATGCTACAAATTGCTTTTTTTGGTGAATGGATACATTTTGTGGTGTTTTTGCTGCAAGTTTTGTGAATGGATGCAGCAAATTACTTTTTTTGCTTCAAGTTCCATGGCTACATTTTTTTGGGTGCAAACTACTTTTTTTTTGTGATGCATCTTCGTCAAGTTCTATAATTACATGCATCTTTGTCACAGTCTCATGGAGGTGCAAGTTGCTTTTTTTGCCGTAAGTTCTGCAAATTACTTTTTTTTGGTGTAATTACAGTTTGTGGTGTTTTGCTTATACAATATTTAAATATTCACCTGTAAAAATTTTAAAAAAAATCGGTCTTATCAGTCCCTATCGGTTCAGTCCAAGAAATTTTAAGACCCATTTCTTATAGGTCCGGTCTTTGGTCTTTATTTTTTCTCAGTTCGGTTCGGTCCTGGACCGATGAACACCCCTAATTACGATTGTGTAAAAGGGACGACCATGCATATCTTCAGCCAACCTGACATTAGTATGATATTATGTGTTTTAGGCTAAACCTTCAAAAATTTGTTTTTGTGCACTTTTCGAAAAGCCACATAATAGGTTGGGTTGAAACATTATATTTTGTTATGTTTTTCTCTTTCTCTGTTGTGGGAGTATATTTATTTTCGGACCAGAGAGCTGGCCGATGTCGAACAACTCTCTTGATCAATGGAGGTGTAACAATATTTAAAAAAAAGTAGTGTTTTCAAAGTTAAATTACATTATTAAAATATTACTCCCTCCGTCTCCCAGTTTTTGTCCACTTTTGACTCCTGGAACTGTTCATCTAAGCACTTTGACTCATCAAATTCTCTCAATGTGTAAGCCTAAATATAGTCATGTGTGATCTTGTTTGATTTGTCTTAACATATATTAATATATAATTTCTATAATTTTTTAATATACAAATTACAAGATAAAATGGATTAAAGAAGTGCATTGGATGGTGTATAAAAATGAAAGTGGACAAATACTCTGGGACGGAGGGAGTATCTAAATAGTAAAAGGTCTAAAATGACACCAGTGTTATTGGTGTCATTTGCTTACACTAGTTAGTTTGTGGTATCTACAGTGTCCCGCTTATAAAAATGACGGTTCCTAGGTAGGGAGGGGGGCAGGGGTGAAGGTTTAGGGTGAAGGTAGAAACTTTTATTTTTATAAACAGGGCATCGTATATACCACAAACTAAACTGGTATAAATAACTGATGTCATTTTAGTTGCTCACTTGTGTAAAATACTAACATTAATTGAAAAAAATGGTTTCTAAACGAAGCCTTAAAAATATTTGAGTTACAGTATATATTGTACTATCAAAAATATGAATTGTACCTGGAGTAATAAGCTTGAGGAGAAAAGTTAATTATAGACAAGGACAAATTAAACCTAACCTAAATCAACAAAATTGGGTTTCTTTATTGCGTGCGTCTCCGGCCGATCAATATGACCTCTTCAAATACTTGAAGCCGTTGGAGGAGGAGTCCAAGCACCCAATGACCCTTTCCTTGTGCCCATTCAACAGCTTCAACACCTCAGTGGCTCTCTCCTTTGATTTTTCCCCGCACCCAACTTGCAACACCACCAAAAGCTTCTGAAATGCCCCCACCTCTAGCAGTGCCTCCACCGCCGCCGCCCTCTCGCCGCCGCCCTTGCAGAGCTTCAACATGGCGGAGACGCACAGCTCCGTTCCCAGCTCCGAAACCCTCATCGTCTTCTTCACTAGCAACGGGATTGTCAGCGGGTGACCGCAAGCCCTCTCCCTCCCTTCCTCGCTCGAACACACGGCGTCTAGCACGGCCAACCCTTTCTCGCAGAGGCTTTTGTCCCCGTCCACGAGGAGTTCCACGAGGACGGAGACCAACCCAGCTTCCGCGAGGAAGGAGTTGACGCTTTTGACCCTTGTCATCATGTGGTGCATGATGGTGAGAGCGGCTTTGGTGGTTGATGACTTGCCTGAAGGGTGAATTGGTAATTTCACGATGTCGAGAAGGGTCTCTGGGACGTCTTGATCGGCTTCTAGTAGGGCTTTGGGGAGGGTTTGGCCGTCCTCCAAACACATCAGTTGTTGGAGGACGGACAATGTGTTTTCCTCCCCGCCCTTCAAAAGCCATGCCATGCACTGCAATGACGTTTTTGACCCTAGCTTGGTCCTACCCTCTTCCGCCAGCGGGAACATCCACGCCAACAAGGACATCAAATCCCTCAACAACTCCACGTGCTCCTCCCCCGACACCCCGCCCGCGAAGAACTCGAAACAAGCCGACAACGCAACGCCGATGCCGCCGTCGCCGCGGATGCATTTCTTGTTCCGCTCGCTCTCTCTGCTCCAAGCCTTGACTCTCCCGACTAGTTCGAGGCACCTCGCGTGGTCCCCGCGGCGCGTGGCCCCCTCGATCCTCGAGCAGATGTCCGAGACTTGGGAGGGGCCCACGGGGATCCTCGGCGTGGGGATCCTGTCCACGCCGCGGGACGTGTTCTCCACGCACCAGTCCTGGATCGTCTTTCGTATGGCGTGGTTCGGTATGAGATCGCGCGACTCCAAGACTTGGTTGGTCAGCGGGCACGTCACGTTCCCAGCATCGAGCCATCGCTCGATGCTTTCCCGGTCGTACGAGATGCCGGTGGACAATGTGACCGGATCCTTCATCAGCTCCAGGGAAATGGGGCAGACGAAGGAATTGGGGATGGTGAGCTCTCCACGGGAATCATCTGGCCGGGAAATCTTGTTTTTCCGGCTGCCACGGCCGCCGCCGGTGGCACGACGTAGGCTAAAGAAGAAAGTCATTTGTCTTCACAGAGTAATATATAGGGAATTAACTTTTGTTTTATTCAATATTTGGAAGGAGAGAATGAAGGGAAATGGAATATAAATACTCCGTATGTGTGTAAAATGAAAGTATGAAAATGTGTCCATTTTTGGTGGGTTGATATAGTGGGAATTAAGTAGGGGGGGAAAGAGGGAAAGATTCAAGATGTGAATATTGGAATACGAGGGGTGGACCGTTGACTGTTGAATGCGTGTTTGAATCTTTGAGCTGGCCTGGCCTGGGGAGCATTTTACTCCCCGTATTGGTGACGGAGTATTGGATCAATTCCAGGAGTATTTGTTTGAGCCTAAATAAGACTAAAATATAATGACTTTTTCAATATAAGACCATATATTTTTATTTTTCAATGTAGAATTTTTGGTCATTAACAAGTAGTCATTATTCAAGTAATCATGTTCTTTTTCAAATTGGTTACCACTAATGGTCATTAAAACAATGCTAAAGCTTATACTAATTTCTTAGAATATTTCTTTTTAATTGGTTATTTTCACAAATTAGTTTATTTTTGAAATACAAAATTATTAAATATAGAAAAATAATTTTAAAATTTATAGGATAAGAAAATATACTCCGTAAATAAAACTATAAATATAATTTGATAAATTTGAAACTAATGTTTCAGGTTGTTTATAATTATTTAGGAGAATATCATGTAAATCAAATATTTAATTAACATTACAGAGTATTTTTTTACACTCTCATTTTTGAAATAAAGCTCTTTTTTGGTTTAGGATGTCTGCCCAAACTTATTTTCAAAAAATATAGATGAAAATTCGTCAAGAATTTATATATATATATATATATATATATATATATATATATATATATATATATATATATATATATATAACGTACACAAAAACTTCTACAAAACAAGTAGTAACATGACTATTTTTAAAATGATCAACGAAATTGTATTTTGAAAATAGAGTTAATTTGACTATTTGAATAGAAAACATGAACCTTATTTGAGGATGAATGATATATTAATTAGTCATGGTAATTTCTTAATTAGCAAACACAGTTTTATGTCTACATAAAATTATATTTTATTTTCATGAAAATTATTATTTCTAAAACAGAACCTCATTTCACAGTATTCTATTTGTCCCAAAATAAGATTCGTGTTAACAAAAAATTGAGTAAATTCTATAAAAGAAATCTCCTTAGATAGGAGTACAAAAATATGAAAATACTAAAATATAAATCTCAAGTCTTTTAAGACCAAAACAGAAGTATAATGACAGTGTAATGTAAGAGTATGCGTTGGAAGCATGATGAAAAAGTAATGACAATGTAAAATATCAGTGTGATAAGTCAACATCGGTGAACTGCGGCGTCACTCTAGTGGCTGACAGCGACGGATGGCAATGTGATGGTGGTAGTGTACAGTGGCAGTTACAATGTAACAATGTGCTGAGTGTGAAAGTGTAACAATGGCGGAAGTCTGAACTCCTATTTTGATCTTAAAAACATATGCTCATATTTAAGTATTTTCATAAAGTTTTACTCTTATCTAGAGAGTTTTCCCATTCTATAAATAATCATTTTTAAAGAAGACACTCGGAATATGAGTAAGCCATAGAAAAAATCAAAATAAAAGCTTCATATTTTTTTCCAAAATAAGAGTTTGCACTATGATTGTGGCATTGTATATGAACATTTCACAATACATTTTGGTATTATATATATATATATATATATATATATATATATATATATATATATATTTGCATGATTGACATTGTATATATAATTTAAGTATTATTTTGGAAATTGAATAAACACATATATAGAACTCCTATTTTAGAATAATCCGTCCAGGCCTGCAGCCCCTTTCGGACTAAAGTATTAACTTGGTAATCGTAAAAATTTAAAACATTTCAAACATCTTTATTTATCATAAATAATATTCAATACATAACAGTAGAAATACGGAGTGTTTAATAATGCGGAAGTGAATTTAAAACATGTTTCATAACATTCAAAATTAATTATTTAAACCACACATCTATCACGACCGCCTCGCCTCATCTGTCTCCAGGAATTCATCACTTCATTCTTTTTGTTTATCTGCGTGTAGCAAATAAAACGTACTACACGTTCAACGGTAAAGCTGAGTAAGCATATCATGCATATATATATATATATATATATATATATATATATAGATTTTGGTTCTGGTGAGAATGCAATCTTATAAAAGAAATAAGAATGAATCTGGTGCTTTAGATTGTGAGATCTAAGGGTCAGGATTGCATCAAAATTAGGTGCATCAAAATGGTTTAAAAATGCATCACGTTGAAATGCACCATAATCCTTTGAAAATGCACTATCTCAAAACCTTAGCGCAGGATGCAATATGAGCCGCACGATGCATCAGATCCAAAGGCTATATTTTATTCTTATTTCTTTCACCAAGGTGCATTCTCACCTGAACCGCCCCCTATATATATATATATATATATATATATATATATATATATATATATATATATATATATATATATATATATATATATATATATATATATATATATATATATATATAGACACACACACACACACACATACATATATATATATATACATATACATATATATATATATATATATATATATATGTACATATATATATATATATATGTATATATATGTATGTGTATATATACATACATACATACATACATATATATATATATATATATATATATCTGTGTGTGTAAAGAAAAGTGAAATTGTGTTGTTAAAAGTAATATAAAATCAGAAAATTATATGAGGCTTAAAAACTTTTCCAAAAGTGAATTGTAAAATCTTTCTTTACGACATGCGAAAAAGAAAATGAGGAAATTTTTGGATGGGACATATGGAGAGGATTGTACATTTTATTCAATCTCTTAATAATAGTATTTTTTTATTAAGAAATGATTGCATAATTGGAAAAAAAATCATTTGATCCTGTGTATAGCACAAGTTAAAATATTAGTGGAGGGAAAAGATGGGAGTCACAAAAATATTTTGATAAAAAATAATACTCCGTATGAATTACTCTATCTGTGACATAATTATTATTTAGTTAATTTTTTTGTTTGGGTTGCCCTATAATTTTCTTCCTCGGTCTCCTTTAAAAAAAGGTTAATGATCATTATCATTGTCTATTTGTCTTTCAATTACTCAAACCACAACTACATAAATTCTATTTGATTAAAAATCATGTCAGGTGAATGGAGAAGAAAGTTACTCGACAAAGGGAGTAAATATTAAAATAATATAAAAAGAAATGAAGAAAATCTTAGAGAGTAGAAGATTGTAATTTTTTCTACTCATTATCTGACTAATATTGTGACTTATTCTACCTTTATTATTTTTCTCTTTAATTAGTTAAATCTTTTTTATACCAGCAGTAAAAAGAAGAAGAAGGATCCAAGTTAACAAACCGAGTCGATCGGCGTAGTTTTTTGACCAAAGAAACGGAATCACTCGGACATTAGCCTACTACACGTTTACACCACTGCTTTGAAAATGCTATACCGTATATCTTCTCTTTTTTTTAGAATGTAGTCCTTCCAACTTAAATTTTCTATTTCTATAGAGTCAAACTTTAATCACGTTCTTTTAACTCACTTTTGCTGTTTATTCGATTAAATAATAGTCTTGTCACTTCTTGTTTTGTTGGTCTTTTGATATAATTTTAAAATATATAAGTTTTATTTTTTTAATTTCACACAATTTTCAAATAAATTGAGTTAAAAATAAGTTCAGTTGTAAACACAAATGTGACTTAAATGGAGACAGGAGTTATATTTCTTCATACTTTTTCCCAATTTATTAAAGCTAAAAAAAGTTATCGTTCTCACTGGAGTTTGAATCTATCTCTACCCATTTGAGAGAACAAGAGTGATGTCGCTGAACCACTAAATTTTTTACGAAAGATCTATTTTGTTACTGTTATTGATTCGATTACAGTATGGTATCTTTTCATATTTTTCTCAACCTAATACGCACAAAGAGCCAATGCTTTCACTTCAATTCCGCTTGGGCTCGAACCCTGTAGAACTTCTCAATGAATCCCGGGATTGGACTTCCTACCGCTTAAGACATGAGAGAAGTTCATGGACCATTTTCTTTATCCATTTGTCATTACCATTTACCAACACTTTTGTTAATGTTAGACCTTTAAAATAGAATAGACATGTGACGAAATGCACGTAAACTTTATTTATCATAAAAAGTTTTAAATGACCCATCTAATTGGCCAAAAAATTGGCCTTTAAATGGAGTAATTTTGCCTTTTTAAAACTAATTGGCCAAAAAATTGCTCTAATATTTTTTAATTGAGTATCTAGTAAATACATACTTTCTCAACATGTTGAAGCCCGAAGAATAAATGTCCTTGCTTGAATTCGAACCTCGATAAACTTCCTATCTAAAATCCATTGTCATGCCACGAGAAATGCTAGAGTCACAAACACAAAGATCACAAAATACACAAACTTACTATTTGTGCTGGTTGAGCCAAGAGGTAAGACATAAAGTGTTGTTCTTACAAGAATCCTACTTAGAATATATATTGAAGTCATGTATGCCTTCACTCTTCAGTTAGCTTAGCTCCAAAATCTTCTGTCCTGCAAGCATATCACAAATCTGCAAGGAAACTATAGCGAGCCTGTTCTTGTGTGCTAAAAAGAATGTTTTTACAGCTCCAACCTAACAATGGCATCTGTTCAACCACCAGGTTGAAATCTACATCTGCCCATTTCTTGCCATCTTCTGTCAACTCTAACCATTCCTGGACAAATGCTTCTGAACTGTTCAACCCTTTCAAGTTCCAGCAACACAGGAGACCCTCGCGCACATATACTGCATGCAATAGAGCCTTGATGATTTCTGCAGCGCCTCCTCCTTCCCGCAGATTGACAACGATACCATACTGTGGTCAACAAGAACCAAACGATCATCAAATCGTTTAAGATTTTTTTTTTGTATCGTCAATTTTCTGCCTTCAAAGCAACTTTACCTGTTCTATGCCTTCCGCGTGGTTAGAGATTCTTTCCGGGCATAAGAAATGGAAATCGCTGCTTTTTAAATTTTGCATAGTCGTCACTGAAATCCTCGATAATTGGTTCTTGGCATTTACGCAACCAATTGTAACGGGGAAGGGTTTCCTGGCTAATATAAGAAGCAGTTTGTTATTATCAAGCACAAGGTAAAAACCTATATCAACAAAAGAGGTCAAACATTCATACCTTTAGCCCAAAACAAGTCAATGCCCTCAGCTTTGCTCACCTCTGCAGGTGAAGGAACACGTCCGTTCTTAACCCACGTTGTTAATATAATCTCAAGTCTTTCCTGAATATGTACATTGCGAAATCTGGTTTATTCTTAACCAAACCAAACAAGCCCAATATATCCCACTCAAGAGTAAGTAAAAAAAAAGCTACTTGTAAGAACTAAAACCCTAATTCAACGTGTCGAGGAACTATACGGTAATGTCATAATATTCCAAGATAAGAGTCAAATACCAACCTTAGTCAATGTTTGCAGATGTACATGTTTTAATCCTTGATAAATACCATAAAGGTCAAGTGCAGCAAAGATTGGGTACACAACAAATGGTAGACCTGCTTGGAATCTTTCATTCGCAAAATACAGAGGTTATGAATAAGCATTACACAAATAAACCTTAAAAAACGTTAAATTATCCGTTTACAAAAGGCCAACATTGAATATTTTATAGATTACAATCCTACGAGAGCAATGTTTGGCATGTAGGGCAGAGGTCCATTCACAAAAAGCAACTCAATAAAAAAACTTGATGTGTGGAAAAAACCTTGGATTATGTTGGCACAAGATATTTAAGACTGCAGCAAGCATAAGACCAAGATTATCAAAGCACATTTGTTGTATCTGAAATAGAATTAAGCACGAGATAAAATTACAATAAATTGGGGTTACTGCAAGATGAAAGTGACAGAAATAACCTGTGCCTTTGCAGAAACTTCCCCGAGGTTATCGGACCTTGCAAAGCTTCTATGGACAGCCGTCTGGAAAAGCCGTGACATTTAAATCATGCATTAGTGATGTTCAAGACCTTAAACATATTCAGGAAACTTTTGGCAAAATGATAATGATAATAATAATAAATAAATAAATAAACAAACAAGGGAAATAAGTTAGAAGGGCTAATAGAAAAAAATCTTTAGAAGACTGTATGTAGAGAAGTAAGGAATAAACATGTTGGTATAAGAAAGAACCTTAGAAACATATGATACGAATGCATGAAAGCACTTGAATTGCTTGAAAAGAGCTTTAATATCAGATATAAAAAGCCTAAAGAATCCTTCGTTTCAGAGGTTTGGTATATACAGAGGAGAAGACGTATATACACAGTTGACAAACAAGAAAATAAAAAGAGAAGCAAATCACCAAGTTCTAATGCTACTAAGGGGTATATTTCAACAAAAACTACGTCTCTCACTCTATAACTATGTGTGTGGGTTCTAACAAAGACTTACACCAGTCGCTAAGTAGCATGCCAGGCTGATTTGCTTTGCGATGTTGGCAATGGATGCAAGCACCAAAAAGTAATGAGGAAACACAGGTGTTAACAATTCGACCCCGATGCTCAAACTGAACAGAACTGATGTTGAGAATCTAACTCTCTGCAATCGAGACAAGTAGATGAGAAGAACCAAATCCATCTTTCATCATGACAGAATTAAAAAATCTATACCTTGAGATTGGTATCAAAAGCAGATGCAAGACTAGAAGCGTAGATGCACCTACAAAGCCGTCCGAGCCCGTCTTTCAATACCCAATTCAGTGCAGCTGCAGATGGAAGCGAGCGAGAGGAACCAATTCCAATTGCTCCAAACATTGCCTATATTCAACTTAAAGCATCAACTAAACACCCAAAAGGTAAAAATTTATAAGCCCCAACACATATTAAAATTTGAATCCAATCGATAATCTAGTTGAATTCATGACCTATTACCTCATTGTTATTTCTCCAAATTTTCCAATGTGGGGAGTACTTAAACACAAGAGCATCAGCTAAACACCCAAGAATTCAAACGTTACAGTAACTTTCAGGGCTGAATTAAAACAAAGAGATACCTGGGTAGCAAGAACTTGCAAAGAAGAACTGAACAATCTATGCACAAACTTCCATTTCACATATTCCAAGTAATTCCCACTCATATCCCTCGGAAGAAAGAAATCCCTAATTGCAGAAACATAAACCCTGAAAAAACTTTGAACGGCTTCAAAATTGTAGCAGAGTTCTGATAAAGAAGGGGCCTTTCCGTCGAGAGATACCAAATTGAGCTCATCCCCATCCCAAAAGAACTGAGAGATGCCGCCGCCGGACCGGAGAATGACTACCGGAAGACGGGAAGGAGTGGATGGCTGTTCCCGATTGCGCTCAGATTCTCCTGTGGCGTACCCAGTGCTTAGATAATCAGTCTTAAGGGAATTTCTTGGAGTGTAGGGTTTAAGGGAGGTTTTGTGATTACGAGTTCGGGTGTGGGTGTCATCTGGAACCCATGAGTATGGATAAGTATGCAGACGCAAGGGGGATTGCATTGGAAGTTGACAGACTAGAGAAGAGTGTCTGTAAGTTGCAAAAGAATGATTTCTACTCCTTATCTAATTTCTAATTGCTTACAACTTACAAGCGGTTTGAGCGAGACAGAGCATATTTCATGAATTCATGGAGTCCTACTTATCCCTCAAATTAACACCAACATAATAGAATATCAAAAAAAGGACTATTTATGGAAAGATATCCATAAAAGAAGGACCACCGGGGTAATATTTGATAATAGAGGACTAAATATGGAAACCCCCTTGTTATAAAGGACCAATTATGAAATTTACTCTTGTCAAGGATACCCCAAAATTGTAGATCCCTTCAAAAATTTCTTTTCCATATACTCCATCCCTCCACAAATAAACTTTACGTTCACTATTCACAGGGTCAAACTTTATTCACTTTGTTGACCTATTTTCGTCACCCATTTGATAAAATAATATAGTAATGTCACCTCTAGTTTTGTAGATCTTTTGATATAGTTTTATAATGTGTAATTTTTATTTTTCAATTCCACACCTTTTTCATATAAAATGATTTGAAAATAATTTCAGTCAAACATCGTGACGCGCAATGTAAAGTTTATTTGTGGACGGAGGGAGTAATTTGGTAGAAAAGTTAAAGTGTAAAAAATTCTCATTATTACTTTTGATATGATAGAATGAAGTAAATAGTATTGATAATATTCATGTTGAAATATAATTTTTGAAAATAAGAGTATGATTGTATATTTATTAAAGTTTTCTGTCAAAAGAGAAATAAGAAAATAAGTTTTTGGACAGTCCAAAACGAAAAGTGGAAAAAAAATTAATGGATGGATGGATTATTTCTGGTTTCTACACCAAAGATAGATAATTACAGATATCATGTAGGTGCACGAAACACATGAAATAATTATGTTTATCTTTAGTGTACAATTGTTGGAGTACCAAATATTTTTCATATTTCATTCATAAACCTCTCTTGTAAATGTTTTTGTTCATTACTGGCAGATATTTTCATTTTAGCTTAATGAGAATTGGATTATGAAAAATGGAGTACGTTGTAAGATCTATAGGAACGGTGAGAATTCTATTATGAATAATGGACGGTGAATATCATAGATTGACCAACAATCAATAAAAAAAAGAGACCCTATCTCATGTTGAGATTGTAGTCACTCCACTCAATTGACCACAATACGTATCACAACCATTCGGTAAGCATTTCGTTTAATTTATTTTTTTTTACCTATCACTTATTTTTATATAATCAGATCAGATGAGACCAATTAGATCAGAAACACTTTAATTATAACGACAATTAAATCAGATCAGATCTTGTGAACAGAATGTAGCCTCAACTGATCACAAGGTGACTCAAGAACATTGAGTGAACAAATGAAAGTCTCTATACTTCCTAAAATGGAAGTCATTGTGTAAATTTCACCGGATATATATATAAACAAAAATTGGTCGGGTCAACCACCTTTGACTGTTATGTAATATGAAGTTAAATCACAACTAAAGTAAGCAAAATACTGCAAAGTATAACTTAGACTGGAATAAATTAAATCTCCCAAATCTGAATATATTTCTTACTCTTTGTCTAGAGTGAGCTCAGTATTGTGGGAATAGAATTAATATATCTCTCCTCTCTTATAGAGCGGATGAGGAATGGAAAGTGATTGGAAGCTGCTCACTTAGCCAAACAAGGAGACAACATTCATCACTCTACAATAAGAATATATTGATTGACTACAAATCTAGGATATGATGGTGGCAAAGAATTTTCTTACATTGATCTTGTGAATGACGTGGGTGGGTCCCCATGCAGAGTTCTATCGTTTGTTGCTGGTCTTGATCGTTATTGATAGTTGATCCACCACCTCCTTGTAACCATTCCAATATTGTTATCGCACTCCCACCACTTGCAGTATTTCTAAGAGATAAAACAATGACATTCCTATATTTTAGTATTGTAACGACATTTTGCTCTTATCTAGAAACATTATATATTACTTTCTTTTTCCTTAACAATATGCATGTATACATATGCTTAGTATAATTGTGACCCAGCGCAGTTGCTTATTATAATATTTTTGTCAAAATTTGCCAAGATTTATCCCCTTTGGCACCTCTTACTCGACCAGCTGAGCTAGACCCAACGACGAATCTAACTTATTGTATTTGAAAAGAGACTAGGCAAATGCATGGTTGGCAACTGGCAAGTAAGACATCCAACTAAATCCAGCTAAAAAAGCTTGTTGTTACCTGGCAATATAATTCAAGCAAAAATGCCGCTTTCATTTTGGAAATCAATTTAAACACTTCACACGTACAAATCACATCCCAAATGAGTTAAAAGACAAAAAGATGACAAAGAAAAGAGTACCAGTTACAGAGTATTAATTATTAGCACATTTTACAAATGACTTGCATTCCTCCCTCTCATCTCATCATATATCTTTCATACTTTTCCACTTCTCTACCACTTTCTCACCAAATTACTTTTTTTAATGATTTTTCAAATTACTCCATATATATATAGTTTTCAAAAAACATAATTACTCCATACAAAGATATTTATATAGTCTCCTCTACATACATAAGAGGGTCGTACACACTTGTACGAAATAATAAGCTTTCACTTTGAGCATACATACATACATACATACATACATACATATATATATATAACATAACAATGGACTCTTCTCTTTCTTCTTCTTCTTCTCCTCCTCAGCCGCCATCGTTCTTCGGCCTCATCATGAGAAACCCTCCTCGTTGCTCTGTGTCGTCGCTCGATTTGTCTTTGGCCTTCAAATCCACAGCGACGACAACCGAGCGGGCGTCGGGGGGAGAAGGATTATCGGCGTCTTCCTGCAGATTGTATGAGTGCAACTACTGCCACCGGAACTTCTACAGCTCACAGGCGCTCGGGGGACACCAGAACGCTCATAAGAGGGAACGCTTCGTCGCCAAACGAGCAATGAGTAGAGCAGCCGTTTTGCTCTCCTCCCTGCGCAGGTCTAACAATGACAGTAATAGTAATGCCGCCTCCGCCTTCCGGCAAATGATGATGAGGCAGCGGCAGCGGCAGAGGGCGGGGCTTGTTTTCGGTCCCGGGAATTGGAATCACTTGAAAAACGATGCTGCGAATTGTTCAGAAATGAGAACACCATTTGGGAGCAAGGGTGATGATGACGAGGACGACGACGACCAGTGTGTGCCGCCTGATCTCACACTCAGGCTTTAATTTAATTAACAACAAAAGTTAATTAATTTACCAGTTTTAGTTTTTTATTATTTTATTTACTTACTCTTCAACAAGCTAAGGTTATTATTTGCATTACTGCATATAATTAAGCTCCTCTGTAATCTCAAGAGATGGTTACGTTGTTTATACAGATCAAGATATATATAATACTCCCTCCGTCCTATGAAACCTTTCTCCTTTCTTTTTTTATCCGTCCCACAGAACACTTCTCATTTCTATTAAAAAATCACTTTTACCCCTTATTTTTTCATACTCTAACTATCACATCATACTCTTTTACTAATAATCTATCCATCAAATCATACTTTTACCCATCACATTAAAGGAGATTTTTGGAAATTCAATACTAAAATACACTCCTCTTAAATCCCTCCTAAAAAGTAAAAGTCACATGTTTCATGGGAGGGAGTTCATACTCCAGGAAAAAATCAATTACCCTTCCACTAGCCAATAAAGGTATTTATAGCCCACAAGTATGGACATATTTTTACAGTTCCACGCTCTATTTATTGTCTACGTATTAAGACACGACCCGCCGGGTTTTCATTTTTTTGATCTCTAGCTTAAATCTAGTTTGTTTTATTTTAAACATTGAAATGTTGTAGGTAGCTAGGGGTCGAAGCCAAACACCTTTGGGTGGGTGATAGGCCGATAGCACATAACTCATCCACTTGAGCTGCTAATTAACTTTGTTGGTCTTAATCCACGCATAATGTAATATAGTGCGGTATTGATTTCGGGCCTGTTTGGGAATAGCGTTAGAGATTAGCGTTAGCGTTTTCGAAAGGCTATCTACGGACAGCGTTTAGCGTTAGCGTTTTCAAATTAATCTGCACCGTTAAAATTTTATCCAAAACGCTAACGCTAATCTTTAACGCTATTCTCAAACAGGCCCTTCATCTACACGGTTAGAATTCAAAATCTTCATTGATTCAATTCACTTTGTGTTAGCGACTCAGCGTATCGTTTAGAGAAAAAAGTTACTCCCTCCATCCTTAAAAGTTAAAACCTTTCTTCTTCTTTTTTCCATTCATCCCAAAAAACTTTTCTCGTTTCCATAAAAAGGTGACGTTTATCTCTATTAATTCTAAACTTAACTATCACATCACATCTATTCATTATTAATCTAGTCATCAAATCTTACTTTTACCCATCACATCCAAGGAAATTTTTGAAAAATCAACTCCAAAATACAATCATCTTAACTCTCTTAAAAATTAAAACCTCTCATGTTTTCAGGAACGGAGAGAGTAGTAAATTAACGATTGCTAATATGCTACCGAATTAATGATTCACTGACATTTTTTTTTGAACTTTAAACTTTTATTGATTGTCTTATTCAATCCGTGGCGTATTATTTTGAAAAAAAAGAATAGTAAACCACTCATTCACTAAATAAATTTTTTCTCGGTGGGGACTATAATTTAATTGGTGACGGTTAAGGGTCTCTTTTTTTATCTTGTGCTAAGCCATAAAATTTTTAGAACAGGCTATGTACGACATACATTGTATGTAGTTGTTGGTCATGTTTCTCGCCATAATTGATCTGACGTGCGACAAATATGAGCGGAGATTTAGTCATCAATCACTCACGATCTGTGGGATTGACCGCTCCCTCACACATGATTACCCATTGCTTCCAAAAATTGAAAGGAACATATTTCATTCCAAATTTTTTTTTGAAGGATCATTCCAAAAATATTAGTCCGTATTCCATGAGATAACACAAATTTTGAAGAAGGAAACATCGCAATGCTACTTTGTCAAGGCCAAATGGTTTAATGAAAGAAAGCTTTTATGGAGTGAGGTCTGCCGATGAACAAGTTTGACTGAATGCAAAAAATTCTTGTCATGAAAAATCCAAAAAAAAAATTCCTGAGGCATGCTGTATGCAGAATTTTCGACCACACCACTTCCTAAAATTAACTTCTCAGTTTGATTTTTATAATCAAATTTTTTAAACTTTGACCATATATTACGAAAAAAACACATTGAATTTTCTTATAAATTTGCTATCAATAGATTCATTTTGAAACATAGTTTTTGAAATACTCCGTATGTTATTTCATAATACATATTTAAATAAAAATAGAAATACTAATAGTCAAAGTGTTGCATTAGAGATCGTGAAAAGCCAAATATGAAGTTAATCTTAGGACGGAGGGAGTATATAAATTATCTTTTTTCAAAAATAAAATGTACTACGTACTATATTTGTAATCCATTGCACTTCATCCATCCCAAAATGATTTATTGTGTACATTATTATTATAATGGGTTTTCCACAATTTTTGTTTCTTATTTGCATTTGGGACTCAAAGACCATTCAACTTGGGGTTCAATATACAAAAATTACTATCGGGTCATGTAAGTTTTGTTGAAATAATTCGTAGGTCCTTGCATTTTCAAAAAGGATATTAGGGGACTTTATATTTTGTTGTAAAGACTGAGAGAAGACTTTCTGTCTACTATTTTGCTAATGACCCTAAAAAACATATTTTTCTTATTTTTTTCTTAATGGTTTATGGTAATAAAGATTAGGTACTTCACTTTTAAATTTCCTTTTTCTTTTATTTTTATTTTTCATAATCCTTTTTTCAATTCCTTATGCAAGTGTTTTTTTTTTAAAATTGAAATTATTTGTCTGATATAAAAAATAAATGCAACTGAAATGACTATAGTAAAAGATAATAAAAGAAGTATATTTTTTAAATAGTCATAATAGTGGACGGAATATCCCCATCTTTAAAAAAACATAAGAGTAATTAATACGGAGTATCATTTTAAAAATGCAGAGATTTAGGAGTAATAACAAAACTAGGCAAATATTTTTTTGGTTCAATATGTAAGCCTTGACCAAGGGGTTTTCAAGCTCAGATATTTAGACATAAGACTTCAACAACTATGCTATACTTACACTAAAAAGTGTATCCCAAAATTATACCAAATGTATAAATTAAAAATTTTATCATTAACACTAACATAAAATACTTGTGTATTAATAAAAATTTGAAATAAGATTTTGTATTTGGTGTATTAATCCTTTATTATAATAAAGGAGACTCGGATGCACGATATTGCGACATTTGGCACGCCTATTTGGCAAAAAATGGAACACATCAGCAAGCCACCTAATAATAGAAAAAATAAAAGAAAACAGTGGAGAAGAGGAGCCTATTTTGCGATAGTCACGATGAAGATCTGCCGAGCCTGGAGATTTTCGAAATCAAACTTTTTCCTTCTATGGTCGCTGGAGAAACGGAAGAAATTGGATGAATTTCCGAGATAATCCCAGTAGATTTTCGCATTCAACAAGCCTTTCCTTCTATGGTCGCTGGAGAACCCGGAAGAAATTGGATGATGATCTGCGAGATAATCCATGTTTTAGTATTATTATTATATAATGCTTGGATTTAATAATTAGACAATTTAGGTTTATAATTCCTATGTTAGAAATTAATGCTTTATAATAAATGATAGATTATGATTTAATTTCAATAATAATATACCTTTGTTTTTTAGTATCAGATGGTTTATAGATTTCTCCATTATTCCGATTATATGTTGAGCTTATTCACAAGTTTTAATAAAATATTGTGTTTTGATTCTTTCTTTAGTGATAAATAAAAATTTCATTTTATCAACTACTTTTCAAGACCAAGTATACATAAAACCCAAAAAAAAGAGATATATGTAAATATATGTTTTCACATTACAACAATACGAACTTCTATTACGATGATAACATAAGATAATTAAAAATAAAAATAAATACAAATGTAATATTTTTCACTTCATTTAAATTTAGGACCATGCTACATGTATTAATCCTTTATCGTACTTTCATATTTTTACACTTTTAATCTGTCGTATTTCATTTGACTCGGGATTTTTATATGGGGTTTTAATTTGTACTGTGAGTGAAAATTGATGGGATCCTCATCAAATGTATATAAAAATGATTTTGGATACAATCATGTATGGTCAAAATAGCTACAATTAATAAGTTACAAGGTTTTATTTATAAAAATTCATGTACATGTGGTCGAAATGAATAGACTACCTATATTAATTAAAATAAATTTCAATGATATTTTAGATTCCTCACTTATGTTGCTTACTGTCATGAGTAAATTATTGATCACGTTACTTATATAGGTGATAAATATTAGTGATTTTGTTGACCAAGACAACTTTTGTAACAAAATACAAATCTACCATGTCTGTGTTTAATTGTTGTATAAAGTAAATTGTCAATACTATAATAAATTAGTAACATTCCACGAATATCCAATGCCCCATGTGTCACGGTAATATGCATATTAAATTGTATAATAGACTTTGTATTATTGCCAATTTAAAGTGTATAATATAGACTTTATATTATTACCAATTAAAAATGACACCGTAATATGCATATTAAATTGTATAATAGACTTTGTATTATTGCCAATTTAAAGTGTGCAGTGTTTCTGACCAATTTTAATTACCAATTTAAAGTGTAGTGTTGCCAATTTTAAAAGATTTCGTATAGCATTTTATTGGAAAGATTAAGCTGTAATGTAAATATTATTTTATTATTTTCCATTTTTAAATGGTAAGTAACACTTACTTCTCCATCCTCCCAATAAAATATTAATTGGTAAGTATTAAAAACACACCATTTCTTACGTGCCTTAAATAATATTTACTAATACACCATCTCCAACGGTGCTCTTTGAATGGTAAGTACTGACTATTTATTGTATACTCCCTTATTAGTCTGAAAATATTTTTCTCATTTGACATTTTACGGTCTCCAAGATTATACTTTGACCGCTAATATCTTTATTTATACATGGATACATTTTATAAAAATTTGATATTTGAAAACTATATTTCAAAATGAATATATTTATATTAGAGGTATATCCTAATACAATGTATTTTTTCCACATATCATAGTCAAAGTTTACAAACTTTGACCAAGATAAGTCAAATGGGAAGAATATTTCCGGACGGAGGGAGTATGCTCTTAAA